TAATTATTAATATATATTGAAACAATACAGTACTTTTATACAGCATGTATTTTAAAAATTCTTATTTCAACATAAAAGCCAAAATCAAAAAATGTGTACAGTCGACCCCCCTATAAGATATAGATACGTTCCAATTTATTAGGAATCCGATTTCTTACAAGTCGTTCCAATCACAGCCCGACACGTGTGAAGTTTACGGAGTACGGCTGATTGAAAGGTTTTCTTCCATAAAATTAATCGATTCTACACTAATCCGACTCAACATTTCCAAAATATGTATATTTTTTTCGTAGTTTTATAGGAATCGTAATTATAGGGACCGTAATTATAGGGGGGGGTCGACTGTACATATTACCAATAATTTTGAAACATTTTTAAAAAGGTAAAGATAAAAATTTGTTTTTACAACTATTAAAAATCAAACATTACTNAAATAAAACTACAAATATTTTTAGTAGTACAAGAAAATAATTGTGATAACATATCCTGGCAATAATTCTTATTTTAATCTGTATTACTTTACATTTGCTATCTAATAGAAAATGTCCTTGAAGGATCTAGTTAATGTAATAATACCAATATACTAAAATTTTTTATTTCAATTTTTCATTGTCACTTATACAAGTCTGATACATTTAAGCATTTTTATCATTTGTATTAAAGATTTTTCTGGCCACAAAACATTCAATTATTGTGTTTTGTTTAATATTACCATATTTTTGTGCTTTTAAATACAACCAGTGGGTTAAAAGATAATCTAAAAGGGGTGCAAGTTATAAATATAAAAATATAACAGTTTTATCTTATTCTTAAAATATATTGTGTATGTTTATCTTCTTATTATTTTAGTTGTTTGTTTTTAATCAATCTGTAGTAACAAATATGGTATAATTGGAAAGGTACGATTCCTTGAATAGAACCTAGATCTTTTATTATTATTAATCTTCTGTAAGGAATACTATTTATATAATAACACCCCACCTCATATTACCACAAATTTCTAAAAACATGTCTTAAAAAAGACTAAACATGACTACTTGAACAACTCATGCCAAGTATCCTAATTACTATGTAAATTTTGTATTCACAAACAAAAAGCTTTATGTAAGGTTTTTGTTTGTGATAAATTTGTCTAAGTCTTTTAAGAAATATTTTATCTCTTAATCATTGAGATCAGTCAATTTATCAATCGATCATATCAAGTGTGAGACATATGTTGTTAATATATCTGCATGAAATAAATATTAAACATGCAAAATACTTTATATATTAGATTTTTAGAATGTGGCCAATAAGTATATACAGCTAACAACTGATTAACATTTTATTGTTTATTACATAAATTGTTTAAGAGTTAAAAAACAATAAAATTTGCTTTACCACTACTCAAATTGTTTTCAACCTTTAATATGCCTGAAAATGATTTATTAAAACTATAAATTAGTGTTAAAAATAACTTTTAAAAAAGGTACTTTGAAAATTGTTTCAACATACATATTTTATTAAAACCTATAATAAATCATACTTAAAGTACTGAAACAAGTTTAGTAAGTCAAAAATGTTGATTTGTTAAACATTTGTTAAAAAATTCTAAAGTTTGAAAATTGCACCCAACATTTTTTTCTAACTTCTCCTATCAAACATATACTGATACAAGAAAAACACTATTTGAAAAATGAATATTTAATATAATTTTTTTAATCGATTTTTAAATTACGCACGAGCTTCATCACATTAGCAATTCGTTTTACTTTTCTGGTGTTATAACACAAGGTATTAACAAAGTATTGTAATCGTGTCTAATTTAACTATCCGGGTGTTTTGCAATTCTCCACGTTTTGAGACCCCTGAACTCAAAAAAGACAAAAAAAGGGAGAAACTCCCTGGATGTGTCTGGGGATCTTTTTCGTTTAATATCTCAGTGAAGAGTAAAGATTAAGAAACGAAATTTGGCACAGTAACTTGTATATAAGAGGCATTGATGCTGTTAAATTTTAGAGTACGGGACTCGAGAAGATGGGGAGATAGAAGGGATCATGTGCAGTATCTCGTGTGGGATCGGACTTACTTGTTAGTGAAAATATTACAAATTATTGGTATTTGGAATATTTTTTTATAAAACCGTTTGAATGGAAACTCAGCTCGAAAAGAAACAAGAGAAATTTAATTTAATTAATTTTTAAAATTAAATATTTAATCATATATTCTATTTCTTTTCAAATTTTAAATAAATAATTTCATATTAAAATGTCTTTCAAGTATTTATCGATTTATTTTTAATAGTTTTAATCGAATAAATATAAATTTAAACGTTATTTTACACGTTCTAACAGCGTAAATATAAGAAGTAAATAAAATTAATATATTTATTTAAGTCTAAAACAGTTTTTTTTCCTTTTCTTGGGTATAATATAGGGTTGATGACCGAATTGTAAAGGTTGCTTCATGATAATAAAACACGATGTGGGCTGTGACAGATGTCAGCATATCACTTATAACACAATACACTTAACCACCCACAACACACTCCTGAATAAATCAACTAAGAGATTTAAAAGAGATATAACTTTTCATATTCTGCACACGAAAGTCTCTTCATTGATAAAAGCATGAAAATATTAATGCATTATTGTGGCTTTGAGAAGTAGAAGAGATACGACGTTACGCCACTCTTTCTTTAAAAAAATATAAGTTATAGTTTTATATAAAATTCTTTTAAAATCTTCATTTTTAAATTATCTTTGACAAAAATAAACAAGAANTTTGCATTAAATATATATAAATCATTAAGTTTTTAAACAGCTAAATCATTTAACTCAAAAATAACAAGCTTCTTACATAAAAATTTTCAAATCATCAATTAGCCAGAACACCATTGGGGTAGATATGTACAAATATTGGAGTGACAAGCCAATGAAACGACAAGTAAGAAAGATTTCTCATTGTCAGATTTTTAATGGATGTACAAAATGAAGTGTATTTACTTAGTAGAAATGAGTACTATACACATGGTATAAAATAAAAATATTCTGAAGGGAGGACAATCTGCTAGTACAAAGATATTGGGGAGATATGTTTCTTCTGTCCCATATGTATAGACACTCAAAGAATACATTCAAATTATATCTTTGTACAATAATAATTTAAAAATTTCAGCAAGTATTTAAAAATTTACATTTGAAGTAAAACTATTGACATACACCTAGACATTCTATTTTCACTTTAGCAAATGCTTAAAATATTGAAGATTCAATATCACAAAATTTAATTTTATCCATTTGTGATTGTATAACAAACTTTTAAGAACTATCATTCGACTTTCTTATACTAGATGAAATTATACTACTCTACTAATATATGAACATATTAGATTTATTATTCAATTTCAAAAATATATTAATTTCTAGAGCAAATGAGTTTTTCCTCCTCAAATAAATCTTCATATTATATTGAAACAGTTTATTAATGCTGAGAGTATATTGTCAGCATTCATATTTTTACACTGTTACTTATTACTTTTTACTACACACACAAAAAAAGAAAGAAAATTAAAAATAAAAATAGTCAGCAAACAGTTAATTCACAAAAATCTTAGTTTCAAAATTCTAAACTGACTTAAAACAGTACAAGGTCAGCCAAACCTCTTAACCAATAAATGAATTGGTGACTTAAAATCTCATCCTTAGTCAACAACCCATAAATAAACTTTATTGTTAAAATATTGAACTGATTCTATCTTTCAAATTTGATTCAAAATTTTTTAAAACTATTTTCTGATTATATAACAAAGCTCAAAATATTAAAATGAGATATTTTGTTTAAAATATGTAATAGAATTCATTGGCACTTTACAAAATAGATTAAATTGCAAGCAAAAATTAAATTTGTATTCTTAGTTATTTTATAAATTTTGATTAATATTAGTGAAAGTAATCTTTTAGTAATGTAAATTTATCCTTATAATTTATCAATAAAAAGAACATTAAAGCTAGATAAATGGATGTAGAAGTATATTTAGATAAATTCTTAACTAATTACCATCAATTTATATATATCATCATTAATATCTGTAAAAATATTTATTTTTAAATCGGACTAATACTCAAAGAAATTCATTACTTATTTGCATTTATAAAAAATTTATTTTCTATACTAATTATCATTAAAATATAAATTTTCATATCTAACAAACATTCACTAGACAACAAGCTTTTTCAGATTTACAAGGAACAAAAGTTTTTGAACATTTCAAATACAAATTTCTCCAAGAATGATTTGTATTTGAATTATTTTGAAATTTTGTATTGTTTTAGAATAGTTTTATTTGTTATAAAACACAATATATTGTAAAATCCTTGTAAGTCCGAAGAAATAATCGAATTCGAAAGTTAAAACATTTTCTATTCCGTGGAAATATTTAAAACACAGTTTCTATTGTACTTTTGAGTTTACATTTTAGAAAATGTTAAAAATCACCTAATTATGTAATCAAAGACAAGATTATAACTATATAAACTGCATTCATCACTCGGAAACAGTAAGTACTCGTCTCGCATCCATTTTTTCAAAAACAAGACACGATTTATTAAAAAAAGGATCGATATAATAAAATTTCGAGACTTATAAGTCTTAATAAACAGGAAAAAGTTTAAAATTTCAAAATATGAAAAGATTTATTTAACTTCAATCAGCTGTTTATAATGGAAGCCACTTTTAAATGTGATAGATGCATATTTTATATACAACAAAACACGTGTAAGATCAGTGAAATGTACATATAAAAAGAAATTAATCGATTTTGATTGGATAATTTAAAATTTTTTAAATTTGAATTTAAAAAAAAAAAAAAAGGAATTCGAATATCTCAAGTAAACTGGAACGAATGGCAAACTTCGTATAAAAATGTTAACATATTTAGTGATAATAATAATTAAAAAGTAAATATAATTTAAATTTAAAGGATATTTTTTTTTCTTTTTTTGCAAAATACAAACATTTACCGATCACTTTCTTCGGTGGATTATCCGAAGATGTTTCTCCTTTCTTAATTATTTCTGACATTCTCACTCGACAATTCTGAATTTACAGAATTACAATAAAGTTTAAACGGCAGCCTTCTTATAACTAATAACTTCCTTATAAATTTTTTCTATTAAATAAATAAATAAAAACTATTCGATTCGATTCTTCTTCCAACGCATTTAAAGAGGATCGTTCCAAGTTCCCCGATGAACGCCACAGTTGTAAATAACGATTGGTTAATTTTTCGCATGACGTCATCAATTAATCAACTGATTAATATATTATTTTAACTTAAATATAAAATGATTATTAATATTTTATAGGGAAATATTAATTATATACAATTTTTTATTTAAAATTACGTAGTTTTTGTGTCAATGTTCTCCGTTGAGTTATGTATCTATTTTATTTCGTTGCCATGACGACGCTTATGACGTAAAATACTATAAGTCACGTGATCGTTTTTAAAATGGCAGCACGTGGTTTAGAAAAATTAAAAAACGGGAGGAGGAGAATTGTTATATAATAATTAATGGAGTAGGAGTTATTGTTTTTTTTTAAATTACGTTNAAGTTCTGTTTTCTACGACGATCGCTCCTGTTAAGAACAGGAGAAACTACGTAATTTTTTTGTATTTTTTAAAAATAAACTGGTGAGGCGATCCTTCTATTTTTTAAGGACTCGAAAATACCATCCTGAAGGACTCGAAAATACAATCCGAAGATTCCTCACCCGAAAACCAAGAAGATCCTCCTGAAGGAATCAGTCTCGTAATTAAATAAAACTTTAATTTTATTTATTTTTCAGTTAGAGTTGTTGGCAGTTTCGCCTTTAATCTACTCTCGTGAGAGAAAATTTAATTTCACACGACTTCTAAAAATAGCTTGTATATTTTATTTTCGTATCTAATCTGATCATATTAAATGAAATTATGATTTTATTCCTCCTATTCTTTAATCCTTATGAGTACTTTTTTGTAAACCGTTTCCGCCCTGTGGGCACTAAGAGGGCCTCTTTTTGCAAGCCCATTATGGGTTCGGCCAGGCCCACAATGGGGCTGCCGGGTGGTGAGGAATGGGACCCGACATATCTGAGCGGACCACCCCCCGAAAAATTCCTGGGGATTTTTCGACCCGTTCGGATTCGAGCCCGGGTCCCCCAGAGCTGTAGGCTGCCACCTTGACCGCTCGGCCATCCGGCCGCATATTTAGGATTTAATTATTTCAGTCGAAGCGGTAGGCTGCCACCTTGACCGCTCGGCCATCCGGCCGCCTCCTTGTGAGTACTAAGAGGACCCTTTAATCAGGGTACGGCTAGGCCGAAAATGAGAAAGCCCGACATACCCTGACAGTCCACTCTGAAATTTAAGGCCTTTTTATACTCCCTGAGCGGAAAAAGGCTAAAATCACAAAAAATCCACTCTGAAAAATTCCTGAGGTTGTGTATCTGGATTCGATTCCGGATCCCCCATAACCGTCTCAGACAACCGGCCGATAATGAAAATATACTAATAAAGTGAATTGGATTACGTCAAAAGTATGCGAAATACGATATTAAAGTATACAAAAATGATAATACAGTATTTTGAAACGTTAAAGCTAGTTAGAAGATAATTTCGATATATTATTTTCAAAATTATACGATATTTAGTGTTATCACTATAATAAAACATGACTGATTATATGCAACAGAGAAGTGTTCTAAGATTGTAAAAATTTGTATATAATTAGGTTGTTATATTTTGATTAGCAGAATCATATTTGGTTCTTTATCAAAATATACACATCTGGTTATATTTCCGAGAATATCAGTACTATAAATTATAGATATTTAAACATTTTAAGGTATTTGTGATGTTTTTCCGTACTGATTTCGTATCAAAATAAAAACATCCTGTTATACTCCGTATTCTTGAAATATATATAGCTTATTACATAAATATTAAGAAAAACTTCTAAATTCTTTATATTTTATTTATCTGATGATTTAGTTTCAATTTAAATTTATTTGAATGTTTGAACTTTTAAGAAACTTCATGTTCAAATGAGGATCGAAGACAGAAATTTCCATGGACAGTTTGAAACGGATATATTGTATATCCATATGTATCTACTATTACTTTTCTAGCTTGTTTCACTTTATCACACCACGTCTTCATTTACACTTAGCATAGAAATGATGTATTTAAAACAAAACTTATTAAAGGAAAGACAGACGGGTGGATGGACGAGAATGAGCATTTATAGGTCTATAATTTTTCAAATTGCAGCCCAATAATTAGAGGATTTTTTTCTGTAAGTATGGATGTTAGAGTGTGTGGGGGTGTAATAATTAAAAATATAAAAAGTTTATAAATAAAATATTATAACATATAACGCCAAACATGGAATTTTAAATATTGCCGGAAAGTTAAGCAACTTGTTGCTACAGTTTTTAATCATGCTCATCTTGAGTTCTGCAGGGTTCACAAAGGAGATCCAAGTAATTTAATACATACAGATATATACTATGCCAAGTAATTATTAACTGACAAATAAACTATAAGTAGTAATATATACAGTATATCTTAAAAATGAAATAAACATCTAGTAAGTAATTTTTATAAATTTATTATATATAATAGACCCTCGATTTAACAGAAAAAAGATCTCTGTCTTATAAGTTTAAAACTTTTTTTTTATTCGCGAATAGAGCATGCTAAAAAGTTAGAGTACTTGTAATATTATTTTATTCATTTGTATACTTTTTTTTTTTTTTTCTTTTTCCGCTCTATAGGCACTATAAGAGACAGATTAATAACATTTTAACACGTCTTGTATATTTTAAGTTCGTTATTAACTTAATAAAAGAAGACTTTCTATAGTTCGTCACTCACCAGCCGACACATCCAGTAATCCGACACTCCGCAGAGAGACACGTACAAAATTTTGTTATCATTTGTCAATGTATGCGACAGAGAGAGACTGATGTGCAGTACGTGTATATTGTCAGTGGCTATTCGTTTGTTGTCGGCAAACGTCACAATCGTGATTAACCGACGTCTAAAAAGCATGGAGTAACAGCAGTAAATATAATAGCCTTAGGCTGTGTACACACTAGGCGTTTTTAAACGCGCGTTAGCTCGGCGTTCGACGAGCGTTTTCGGAGCGTACGCACTGGCTCAGTTTGGAAATGGACGTGAAAGTAATTGCTTGTGTGCCCCTCCTCCATCGTAGCTATAAGACGATGGCAGAGGCAAAGAGAATTTTGGGTGCACCCAATATTACGAGATAGACTGACACGTGGAATGTCTGCGACGTTGTATCCAAAACTAAGACAAAATGAACCCAAGTTTTTTAATTCTTTTACAATATCTATAAAATCCTTTGACGATGGTTGGTCTCTTTTAGATTTCATCAATAAATAGATCGTTCTCCATTTCATCACATATATTTCAAAGCGCTCGGCTGACGCCCGCAAAAAGCGCGATCGAATGTACAGTAACATGGCAGCACATATATCTCAAAGCGCCCATAAAGCGCGCGTTTTAACAAAAATCTATAAACTCGCGTTTGAATGTGTACGCCTATATAGAACTCTTGGTTCTTTAAAACGCGCGTTTAAAAACGCCTAGTGTGTACGCAGCCTTAGTTTCTCTGAAATTGCGTTCAAGGACAAACGATCCGCCTCTTAGGAACGAGGTTTAAACCGCGACTCAAATTTTATTTAGTTTGTTTTATTATTAAATTATGGCAACGCAATACTTGGGCGATCATGCCTAGGGGGAATGCCTTCCGGAAAATCTTTTAAGGGTAACTGGCGTTACAGACATGGAGAAAACCTGGAAAATTCCACGTGGCCAGCCCGTCCTAGGCGAGGCGCGAACACACAACTGAATAACCAGTGTTCAGGGAACGGAACCGCTTGGCCATTGGTGGGCCTTGAACTTAATTTAGAGAACGGGATTTAGAGAAAATTTCGTCTCTGTCCAAAGTGTACTTACACGGTAAGTACACATTGAACCAAAGGTGGGAACCGGGTTTTAGTGTCCACGCAGGATAGAGTGAAAAACTAAAAGAAAATCAAATATCTGGGTTAATAAAATAGCATATATTTTAATTATTTAAGAAAATTATTTTGTACGTTTCATAACTTACCTATTCTTAACTTCCTATCTTAATACAATATACTTTTTACACGTAGTTCATAATTTTATTGAAGGGTTAAGCTGGATTTAAGTTCTTGCGTAAAGCATCTAGCGTACATCACAATGTCATTAATTTGACGTCAATGTGCTCCACGCAAGAACTTATTTCCTATTTATTGTATCGGGATTAATATGGAAGTTATTGCATAATCACTTATCCTCCGAAGAGCCAAATGAAATACTTTTCGGGATGCCTGTTAGGGGTAACTAGCCGACGACCGGATGGCCTACTGCTCTGGAGGACTCGGGATCGAATCCGGACGGGTCGAAAAATCCCCAGGAATTTTCCGGGGGTAATCGGGGGTAATCCTCCGTCCTTCACCCCATTGTGGGTCTGGCCAAACTCATAATGGGCTTGCTAAAAGACTAAAAGAGGCCCTCTTAGGACCCACAAGGCGGAAATAAAAAAAAAGGGTAACTAGCCCCTATTTAGGCGTTAGAAACTTATGTCTATGGCAAATTTACTTGCTATAGACATAAGTGTTTTTAAAAATATTTTTATTGATTAATTCTATTCTACATTGATTATTGAAGAAAAAAAATTAGAACAAAATACAGTATTTAAAAATAAAACGTTATTTAAAATAAATTCTAAAAGATTTTTTGGCTAAATAAAGTGTTGCCAATTGTGATTGCATCCGAACTACCGCAGCGCCGAAAAGAATAAGCGCCATCTGTGTTAACTTTGGTTAGACTAAATTTGTTTTGTCATTGTGTAATTTTACGTATTGTTCCAAATAACTTGAAAATGTCTGATTATTTGGGTAAAGATATGAGAAAAACTAAAAAAGAAGACAAAGACGAAGAAAAAGAAGAGAATATTAAAGGTGATTACAGAGTTTAATTAATTAGGCATAAATGGTACACACCAACAAACTGAACATGGAAATGATTTAAAATTAAGCAATAATACCTTTAAATTTAAATTCAATTGCTTTACAAATTCACAGCATCAACAAAATTTAATTAAAATCTCCTGGAATGCTTAACTTTATATTGAATTATATATAATTATTTACAGGTAAAAATAGATATTGATTTGTTTTATTTTTTTATCTGCCCCGTGGGAAATAAGAGGGCCTCTTAATCATACCCATCATGGGTTTGGCATGCCCACAATGAGGGCAGCCAAATGGTGAGGGATTGGACTTGACATATATATGTGATTGATCAATCCTGAAAAATACCTGGGGTCTTTTGACCACAAATTCGATCCGAGTCTCTAGAACAGTCTTTCTCAACCTCTAACGAATCGTCGCCCCTTCAATAAAACCATTACATAGTATCGCCCCCTTCACTTTAAAATTCCGATGCCCAGGGCCAAGGCTAATGCCAAATTCGTACTGCATTGAATAGACTAGTGACTAGTGTAATGTTATTTGTTTAATTAACGAATAAAATATCTAATTATTCTTAATGTAATGTTTTACTATATTGTCCAGAAAATTGTTTTTTGCCCCCCAAAATATAAATTGTTACTAATTGCCCTCTCAACATGGAAAAATGCTCACATGGGGGGTGATATCGCCCCGTTGAGAAACACTGCTCTAGAATGATGGACTGATATCTTAACCATCTGTCATCTGGCTGTTCAAGCAGTAGTAAACAATTGAATGTTATCCTATGGGCAAAAAGGGCAATTGCTCACCTAATCAATAGGGGGTCTCAAACCAACCTTTTATAAGAAAATATTTCCTCAAAAAAATTCCCTCAAAGTATCTGAAATCAATACTGTACAGGGGCTAATAAAACAAATTTTACTAGGCCCATGAAGCTATAATGCACCATTAGTGGTAAATATTTATTGTAATAGGTTCTACATTTATTAATAGTGAGGTTACGGCCAAAGTTTTCAACATGAAAACATAAATGTCAGACATTCAGCGCTGCCTTCCTGTAAGCCTGCCTAGAAGTTTAACAATGGTGTTTGGAATGTCAGTGGAATTATGCTCGATGTTTTTGCGTTGAAATCTTTGGCTGCAACCTTGCTATTATATCTACTTAATATTATCAGGGTCAAATGTATAATCATCTAAAAACTTGAATTTGCATCTCGATACAATTGTTATTCTGTCTGTCCAAAAAATACAATCAAATTTCCATTTTTGGGTATGCTGCACAATAAATTTTATAATGATTAAGGTTTAGTCCTCCATCTTAATAGAAAAGCATCAACATAAAGGCATTATCTCACTAATGAATGGTTAAGTAAATAGAAAATACAATTCATCCTTTAAAGAGCTGAATATTATTTTTTTAAATAAAATAGTAACCTTTTTCAATTCAGTTTTGTTAAAATCAATTAAAATCTAATTAAAAAATGATACAAAAAAATTTTGTTGGGTTTCTTTAATAAAATAAAATAAAAGGATGTGAATAGTAAATTTTAGTTTGAAATGAATAGACATTTGGATTGAAATTGATAATGAAATTGGTTTCTGATGATTGTATTATAGTGTTGAATATATTTAGGTTAGGTTTTTGTTGTTATCTTAAATTTTATAAGTTATTTTGCTATAGTTTATTATGATTTTATTAAGTTGTATTAATTGAAATATGCTAATTTTGAAAGAGGGAAGAATAAAAATTTTCTTGAATATAAAAATGCAAGTATTGTGCGATTATACAATAGAAAGTAGCACAAAAATTGTTATTTTATACATTTGGTGAATATAAAATTATTTTTAGTGTAAAGAAAATTGGATATATTTCAGATTTTTGATCTAAGAAATGTTGTGGATACTTTGAAATTAACAACTAGAATCTCTAATAAAACCATAGCTTTTTTGACGTGCTCGAATTAACATATACAAAGGAAAAACATTAATAAAACTGTAATAATAGTAATGAATTACTATTATATTAACATTTGGTTGCATTTCATTTAAATTTTGTTATATTAGTATTAACAATAGCATAATGTATGTTATAACCTATTTTATGATCGTGTGCTTGAGAATTAAAGGTGGATTATACTTTCCAGAAGTAATAAAAACATTTATTTATTGGAATTCTTGCTACTAATAATCATTCTAGGTTAACAGAACTTTGAATTTAATTGAAGATTAACTCTACAAGAAAATTCTTTAATATAAGTTTCTTTTGTTTAAATTATGCATTAAAACTTTTTAAAAATTTACATTAGCAAGGAAAATTATAACATCTGCAGTCAAATTAAAAATTGGCACATTTTGTTTTTAATCATCATTATCAGCATCAACTTATTCTACCATTTCAAATTATGGTATAACCTCCCTTACATAATCATCCTTCATTTGTGCCCATGTTTGCTTATCGTTTGCTTCTCTCCACCATGTTGTGTCTGCTTGTTTTCTTATGTCATAGTCCCATCTTAAATATGGATGCCCTTTGGGTCTCTTCATTCCCCATGGATACCAAATTGGGATTCTTGTGGACCATCTGTTGTCAGTCCTCCTTGCCAGATGTCCTGCCCATTGCCTTTTGAGAGATTTAATTCTGTGGATCACATCAGTTACCTGGGTTCTTCGCCTAATCCATTCTATTCTTTTGTGATCTCTCTTGGTTATTCTTAGCATTCATTGCTCCATTGACCTTTGGGCAACTTGGAGTTTCACTGTTATTTCTTTCTTTAGTGTCCAACTTTCACATCCGTAAGTCATGACTGGTAGTACGCATTTATCAAATGCTCTTTTCTTCAGATGGATTGCCATTTCAGACCTGAAGATTTCAGAATTTCATCCAAATGTAGACCACGCTAGTTTGATCCTCCTGTTGATTTCTGGAAGTAGTGAGCCAGATTTGGATATTACTTGTTCCAGGTGTATATATATATATATATATTATCAATATATATATTGTTAATATATCAATATATATCAATATATTGATTAACAATATATCAATNGATCATGCTAGTGTGATCCTACTTTTGACTTCTGGAAGTAGTGAGCTAGGTTTGGATATTACTTGTCCCAAATATATATATATATATTCAACTACCGTTTCTAGTGTGATGTCATTTATTGTTGTTTTGATTGTGTACCAGTTCATTGTACATGACTTTTGTTTTTGCCAAGTTCATTTTAAGGCCAATTTCATTGCTAACATTGTCTAAATCAATGACTACTGCTTGTAGTTCTGCAGGATCTTTAGCTATCAGGGTGACATAGTCAGCAAATCTTAGGTGGTTGAGGTGTTCTCCATCTATAGATATACCTTTGTTCTTCCAGTCTATTTTATGGAATACATTTTCTAGGGTTGCCATGAAGAGCTTGGTGATATTGAGTCTCCTTGTAAAATGCCTTTGGTTATGGGAAATTCTGGAGCGTCATCATAAATTTTTACTGTAGCTTTTGGTTCTCTGTATATGTTGGCTAGAGTTTCTATGTATGGTTTGTCAATGCCTTGGTTGGTTAAAGCCTCTATTAATGCTAGGGGATTATGGAATCGAAAGCCTTTTTGAAGTCAATGATCCATTGCCAGTTATATTCAATATTCATTGGTACAGCTTAATAATTCAGTGTTTGTATATGATCTATTGTACTGAAACCGCTTCTAACGCCAGCCTGTTCTTGTGGTTGTGTGGCATCTAATGTGTTTTTAATCTGTTGTTGATAATCTTCGTAAATATTTTGTAAATACAGTAGAGCATCGTTTATCTGAATCAATTGAGGACTGGGCTTGTTCGGATAACTTATTTTTCGGATAATCGATTATGTACGAAAAAATATATTAACCTATCCCGTGTTGAAATTTTTCTCTGTTGCGTGTCACTTTGCGTTGAATTTTCGTCGCTGTTAATCCTAATGTAAACTTTTTAAAATAATAATTGTGGCTATGGTATCATTAAAAATTATTTCTTTATTTTTTACAAATGAAATAAATATATTGAAAAATATAAAAACCAAAAAATATATATAATTAGAATGGTCTTGTAAAGAAGTTTAGTGAGTTTTTGAGCCAATAGGTTCCACCTTCTGAAATTTATTGTAAGTTTGAAAGAGGCTATTCTTCTCTATTACAACCCCAGACTTTGTATATAGCACATTGTAATATGGATTTGCTGCAGGCATTTCAATGGGAAGATGTTCCTCCTTCATACAGTCCAAATCAGGCCTCTTCTGACTTTAATATTATCTTTTGTTTAAAGGAACATGTTACTGCAATTGCTGTTTTGCAACTGATGATGAATGCAAAGCTGTTGTTGGATGGCTGCTACAACAAAGGAATGAAGTTTTGAGGAGTGGATGAAAAAGTTTATTATACATAGCAATAAATACCTGAACTGGTTGGCTGATTTTGTTGAGAAATAGCATATTGCTTGCAGATAAATGTTGTATATATTCATCTCTGCGATAAAAGTGCAGTAAAACCTGTGTAAACTGGAATTGCACAGTATAGAATATTTTTTCCAATTTGATAACAAGTTGTCCTATCAATTTTCATTAAAGTAAACCTGATGAAAAGCACAAAATAATATTAAAGTTTCAATATTCTAAGATCCATGGGCAAACTTGAGACAACATGTGTGCTTACTTGAATAAAAAAAATATCAAATAATGAAGTTTACACTTAAAATTTGTGAAATTTTGTATGGAGGATTTCCAAAACTGGGTTAGAGTGAAACCAGAAGTCATGTTGTACAAGGATATCTTTAATTTTCAGTGATAAAATGAGGGATACCTGTATATAATTCTCACTTTACATTAACAAAGATAAAACCTTATCTTGAATCAATGTCATGAAACTTAGACAGAAGTAGTGTAATCAAAATTATATCACATTAAACTAAGGTACTATGATAATTTTCTAATAAGATTTTTGGATAAAATTGTCCAATATTTGGTTTGACTTCTCAATTGGACACTGGACAAGATCCATAAATCTTGATAGTTTGGTTTATAACAGGACATTGGCAACCCTAGTAATACCACGGTCTATATGATATGGATGAGGGTTAGGTTAGTTGTATTGGTCACCCAAGAATAAGAGACAACTGCTAGAGATTTACTTAAAGGGAACAGAGGAGGAGAGAGTGCATAGAACTCAAGAATTTTTAATTTAAGAATTCCGTTTAGCTGATTAACATACTTGTTATTTCTGTCAGTTGTATCAGTTTTAAGTCAATTATATAACCAATCATGCAGTTATCCTTCTTAGCATCTTGCATATCAAGCAAGCAAGCAAGCCTGCTAGAATGCAATATGGATAGGATGCTAAGCAAGAGAGACTTAGACTTTCTTATTATGTAAAGGTAAAAACAAAGGAATTTTTTTTATTACAGTGATGCAATTGTCCTGTGCACCTGCTAGTATACTGAATAAACCAGTAGAGATTGTGGTCTTTCTCACTGACCAATGGTCGCAAAGAAAAAATAATAAAACAATTAAAACCTTGTTAATACATAGAAAGTACTAGTATACAAAATAAATTATAAATAGATTATAAATAGAAAACCTTTTTCTCCTTTCTATACAAATTGAATCTCTGAATATTAAATTTCCAACTATTTTAATAGTCTCAATCTGATTGAGGATAGTTTATGTAATTTATTTTCAATATTTTCATACAACTTTAAACTGTTAATAAAATAAATATTTATATATTTAATTTGTAGATACTAAGCAAAACAAAAAAAGGGCTGTAATTGTATGATTAAATGATTATACAATCCCAATCAATCATTTATTGTTAATGATGATAATTACATTCTTAAAAACACATCTTATCTATCAAGTTAATTCCAACAATCAAGAAACAATTTTGTGACATGAAATACTGCATTTTCCAGGAAAACTCTGTACCGTGCCAAGATGGTGAGTAAAGTATAAGTGGTTCTTTCTCTACGTTATTTTCACTGAAATTGTCACATGTTTAGATTTTTTAAAAATTCTGCAAGAGGTTCAGGTCAGAAGTGTAAGCTGATTGGATCTCAGACTTGATCTCAACACTTGAGAACTGCTGGCATATTATGAGCACAAAAATTGCAGAGAAGAAACTTGAAAATAAACAGCAATTGCAGTAGTGTATTAGTAGAGTTTAGTATCATGTGTTTGATATAGAATACTCTAGGAAACTCATCAGCTCTGCTGGGATGCTATAAAGCTGTTATTAAGGCTCATGATGTCCTTATGAAGTATTAGGATACTATGCCTACCATGCAACAAGAAATAACTGTTTGTTGTTTTTTCAGACCTACTTAAGATAACCATTTTTTCTCTGTAACTTTGAATGGCAAGTTCTTGCATCAATACTCATTAACAGTGTTGGTAAGACTATGGTGTAACTTAAAATGTTCCTTTCACAATTCTTCAGACTGGAGTATAAGTGTAATTCTTACTACAGTTTTTATTTAAGAATATTCTGTAAAGTGTTTTAGTACTGTGGTGTAAAAATAACACTTAAGTTCAATGTAGCATTATATGCAATAAATTGTATTTCTTTGGTTTATTCCTCTTGATTTCTTTTCTGCATTATATATGTTATCATTACAAATACCAATTATAGTTTAAATAACATTTTGCACATCTGTTGAACACTTTCTGGTAGATACCATTGGTGATGTAATTTCCATGGTAACTACTGTATATCAATTGGGATGTTTGGAAAGTAATTTCATTTTTTTTTCTTGTGGAAAAAAACATTTTATAATATATAAATATTTTATTGAATTATATATTGATAATTTTGTTCAAATACCTGTTGCCAGCTTTCTGGTAGTAGCATGATTCCACATTCATAAAAGTTTTGATCTTTGCTTACAAAAAACTGATCCAAGTGATTTTTGACATCTTCCTTTGAAGTAAATGTTTTACTGTTTAAAAAATTTTGTAGACTGGAACAAATAATAATTTGAGGGTACTAGATTAGGAGAATATGGTGAGTGTGTGGTAGCACATCCCATCCAAGTTGTAACAGTTTCTGATGAGTTACCAAACTTGTATGAGATATGGCATTATCATAGTGAAACACTATACCTTTTTTGTTGATCAGTTCTGGCCTTTTCTGTTTGACGGTATCACTCAATTTGTCCATTTGATGGCAGTACACTTTTGAATCAATTGTAAAATTGGTAGAAGCTCAAAAAATAAATTTCTTTAAAATCCCACTAAAGAAAGCATCTGTCGTTAAGAACATGTGGAACCCATATATTGAGCTTTGAAACAGAAAAAGTCTTTTCAAGTGATCATAAACGGTTCAATTGAACAAATTTAATCTTTTAACGATTTCTTGTGTTGTTATGTGGCAGTTTGCTTCAATCAACACCTTTACTTTATCTTCATCAGCTACAACTGGCCTTCCAGAACATGGTGCATCTTCAATATCAAAATTGACAGAACAAAATTTTGTGAACCAGTTTTGGTACTGTTGTTCTGTCAACACATTTCCATACATATCACACAATTTTTTTTCTTGCTTGAACAGCATGTTTATTTTTTGGTAATAAAAAAGCAAAATATGCTGAAAATGCTGCTTTTGATTTTTCATATTTGATGGGACACCAAAAAAAAAGACAATTGCACAGAATCATAAAACTTTTTTACAAATAAGCCTTGAAATGTCAGCTGTCAAAATATATAATGACTATATGGTTTAAAATGAAATTGATTGGTAAAAATATAACTAATTCCTCTAATGGTAAAAAATGAAATTACTTTCTGAACAATCCAATATTTGCTAATTCTTTGAATGATTAAAAATAAATTTTCTATACAGAAAAATTTGTCCTCACATGCCATACTCTTCTAACTTGATATCTTGTGACTGGCTATTCCTTAAAATGAAATGTCAATCAAAAGAACTGTTTTGTATAGTAACTCAATTTTAATCATATTTAGTAAATGTTCTTTTTAATACATTTTTATACCTTTGAGATTAGTTAAAAGTAAGTATTTTGTTCTAATGTTTAATTAAAATTTAAAGTATTAAAATAAAGTTATTTGTGTTTGTAAATGTTTATTTTGAATGTAATTTATGATAGATAATTTCATTTTAAATAGTTGAAAATAATAAATTAATGTATGTAAATTAATGTTGTATGTTTAATAATTATGTTATATGTATGTTTTTAAATAGCATTGGATGAAGCAGACATTGCCCTGCTTAAAACTTATGTAAGTATGATAATTGATTTTTTTAAAATTAGCATTAAAAGATTTTAAAATATTCAAAATTTTAAAATTCTTTAATTTGTTTTTGTAGGGTGTTGGGCAGTACAGCAAAGCAATAAAACAAGCAGATGATGACATTCAATCAATTTTAAAGAAAGTAAATGAATTAACTGGTAAGTATACTTAAAATTTAAATATATAAACTTTATTTTATTTTTTTATCATTATTTCATTAGTTTTTTTTCCACATTTGAAAAATTAATATATTTATTTTTCTTAACCTGGGCAATGTCAAGTCTGTCTGCTAGTTGTTAACAAAAGATAAAGTTGAACTTCAAGAAAACTCAACAGCAGTATGTCTGAAAAGCCTGTGTGAATTATAAATTTAATTAAACATTTACTTCTTTTCGTGTAATGGTTCTTTTTTCTTTAGGCCCACCAGTGGCCAAGCAGTTCCATTCCCTGAACACTGGGAGTTCAGTTGTAGGTTCACACCTTGCCAGGACGGGCTGGTCACATAGAGTTTTCTGGGTTTTCTCTATGTCTGTAATTCCTGAATAGGGGCTAGTTACCCTTAAAAAGACCTCTCGGAAGGCATCCTCCTAGACAGATCGCCCAAGTGTTGCATTGCCGTAACTTAACTATACAAACAAACACCATTTTTCTTTATTAACCAACTTGTACTGATTTACAGGTAGTTTTAAAGGTAGAATGGGGTGGTTAGCTGTTGAGTCAACTATGTGATGATTTAACTACTGATGATTTAATAAGTTCACTCATTGACAACTCCACAGGTCCTAAACAATGCCAGATTAGTGATGATTGACTTATAATTCATATTATTTATTCTATCATTAAGACATTATTTTAAAACAATTATACATATTTTCTAAGATTCCTATTAGCATCTAAGATTTCTTGATGATGTCCAGAGTTGTTTGTTTTTCTCATTTCTTTTCATGTAATAATTTTTGATAAGAAATAGAACATTCTAACATCTTTCTCCTAAATCTGAAGCTCTTTTTTACATTTGAATAGTTTCTTTAAAGATCAAAAAGCAGAATTCAAGAGGATATAAAGTTCCTTTATGTATAAATTGGTGGCTTAGCAAGTTGATTATTGATGGTTCTTGATGCTGTTTTTGTTGTTGTTTTCATCTTCCAGCTGCAACAGTACTTCATTACCAATTTCAATTAAAGATTCAATTACATTTTTTTATAAACTTTATCCAGATCAGATGTTGGACCATCCTAATGCTATTTTTAACAGCTTTTATAATAGTGTTAATGAGAATAGTCTCTCCATATTTATTGCAGAACTGAGGCTTAACTTTTACATACTGTTTATGCATTGCTATAAAATTTCATTTCACACAGTCTTGATATAGTCAAGGAAGATTTATAATTTGGTTGTACAACTTAAAATAGTTTATAAATAAAAGGTAAATTTTAAAGTGTGGCATCATATAACTTTGAAATTGTAAAAAAAAGTAAACAAAAAACTAACAAAATAAGAATTTATTTTAATCTAAGTACAGTACCTACAAGTATATTCCTTGATTTTAAGTTCTCTCATGAAATAATTATATGCAGTTTAATTATAAAATTTATTATAACAACAATAGTGAAGAATACTATTTTTCAATGTAATCCTTTTGCTTTTAATGCACTTGACCCATTATTATACAAGTTTCTTAAGTTCGTACAAATGAAGAAAATGATTTTGATTGATAGACAAATCAAGCTTGCATTGCTTTCTTCAGTTTTTGGCAAATTGATAGTTTCTTATGGAAACTTTGACTGTTCCAAACAGACACTAATTTGAAGGAAATGTTAGGACTATAATCTGTCCATTTTGAGATCTTTAAGTAGTTTCCTAAACCTTTAAGGTGAAGGTTTCTGAAAGGTTTCAACACTATGGGTAGCGTTGAGACTGTCATATTGTGCACAGCACATCTTTCAATAGTTGTTCTTCCATTTACTTCAACTTGCAGGCTTCATATTGTTAACAGCATTTCACTGTAATAGTTATTTTATTGTTTTCTTGATATTGATGTTATGACAAAATATTGTTCACATATTGCTCCGAAAGTTTTTGAGAAATTTTTGCCCTATACACCTATAGTCCACATGAAAAAGGAAGAATTTATTTGTATTAAAACAATGAAGTGAAAAAGTATTTAACATTTATTTCTATTTATATACAGTCAAACCTTGGTTTACAAACTTAATTTGTTCTTGAAAGTTGTTCGGAAACCAAAACAAATTTTTCCATAAGAAACAATGTAAAATGGATTAATCTGTTTTTGACTCCCAAAGCAAAACTTTTTTTTTTACTTTTTTTAGCTGTACAATTGACCCCCCCCTATAACACTGTTGATTATTCCGTTTTATACGAATTCCATGTTGTACGAGTCACTTAGATTTTACAAATATGTGAGCCGTTCATAGGCCGGCACATGTATTTGTAAAATCTAAGTGACTCATACAACATGGAATTTATATAAAACGGAATAATCAACAGTGTTATAGGGGGGTCAACTGTATTTCATCCATAAAAATGCCCACAAATGCTATGTAATATTATATTATAATATTCCAACTGAATAAAGTATATAAATAAGGCAAGACTCCACTTACATAAAAACGAGCATAAAAACTTTCATCGTAATTATCTTTAGTCACGTGACTGATATTTTATGCCGGAGCAGGGTCTAAAACAATCATAAAGCGAGTTGAACAGTGTTTGACTTTCAATGCAGATATGTACCATCAACCAATAAGAAGTCATTGAAATCTACATCATCATGACATGGTGAAAAAATTGGTGGGACATGAGGTTTTATGTACATTCTCTTGTGGCTACTTCTTAAAGACAGAATAGATCTGGAAAGATTTATTGAAAACATTTGAAAGTATTCATGTATTTTTGACAAGAGGCATCCCAATTATAAGAATGGATGCCTAGAACAAGCAATATGGATGGCCATAAGAAAATCCTTCAATTTAGGTGATTATATAATAAATAAGCAAAGCATAATATTTTAATATAGTGCAGTATAGTATCTTAATAATTTGATGATAAAAGTTAATATATGAAAGTAAAGATATTGTTTTTACTACATTTGTAATTATAGTACAAAAAGAGTCATAAAATATAAACATTCTCTTTATATCGATATATCACATATACAACCATACTGTCATTGTAAAAGCTTCACTAGTGGAGCTGGACCTCCACCACAATCCAAGCACAAATGAAAATAGGCGATGTGATTGAAAGTAATTATGGCAAGGGTTTTTATGCTTGGTTTTATGAAAGTGCAGTCTTGGCCTAAGAAAGACGATTTCATTCATCCTTATCTGTGTTGCGAATTTTTGATGGCTTAAGTTGGAGGGTGGAGAGGAGGTGGAAGGAAAGGGATGTTATTTCTTGGAAAAGGAGTTCTCCATAATAACATTAGGTAACTACACTTCAGGAGATTTTTCTCTTATTTTTTAGATTTTCACTAGCAGATTCTGCATGGGACTTATTAGGCCTCTTTTTCACTAAAAATTTTATGTGCTTTTTTATGTTTCACATTGTTATCTAAGTGAGACATAACGTTGTCATTCGAAAGATTAATGACACGTCTTGCTACTACTGCCTTATCAGGGTGATCTTGTGTTCAACAGTCAAGAAAAGTAACCATGTTTATACCTAACTTCTGATGATAAATTCTAAGGATGCACCAATTAATCAGTTTTAATAATCGGCCAATTTTGTATTTTAATATTATTGTTAGAATGTCACGTAAAAGGCTAGTAATAAAAAATATTAAATTTCTGTTATATATTTATTATTTATTACATGACAATCTAAATATTAAAAATTTTAACTTAAATTATTTCTTTTATCAATACATATCATAAGGTATAATGTAACCAATTCAAAACTATCTGTTTTATTTAAAGTTTAAACTTTAAATATATAAAACAAATAAAAGTTTAATATTCAAACTTTAAAACCCTTAAACTGTAATACAAAAACATGAGAATTTCACCATTTTCAAAGCTCTTAATTAAATGTTAAATCCAACTCTGAAAATTTTTTCACTTTCAATGGAAGATGCTGAGGGATTTAGATATTTCATAGCTATTTTGCTCAAATTAGGAAAAACTTCTTTTGAACTTCTCCTCCAAAAAAATGGGTTGCTATGTCTTTGTATAAGAGGTAAATGTAAATATTATTCTAATTCTTGATCGAAATGTTTGTTTGTTTGGTTTGTTTTTTCTTTCTTTTTAAAAACATGCTTTTATTCATTCTTTTGTTCACCAGAAGTTAATTCATCAAATAAATTAGAAAAACTGGGAGATTATCCTCCATCTTGATTGTCTCCAGAAGCAGAAGCTTCAGAATTTAATTCTTCTTGAGATTTTGAATTATCAACATTAGCTAAGTCCATCTTTTTATTTTCTCTATCATTTTTTTTAAAATTTAATTTTGAATCTTGGATCTAATAAGGATGACAACCATAGAGATTTGTTTTCTATATATGCTGAAAATCTTTTTATATTGAATTTTGTAGTCTTTCTATTGTGGAATTAATGTCACTAAAGGAACTACTGCTCTTTACTTTTGATAATACGAGAGACCACTGATATGTGCTCAACATGGGAATTTTATTATCTATAGCATATATGCACACGGGCTTTTTGCTGTTCAAAGTTTCTTTGCAACATGCAGTAAGTAGAATTTTAGTGAGTAGGAACATCTTGAATTAATTTGTGTTTCTGCAAACCTAACTTGTCTCGCAAATCTTCCAATTTGCTTATAGCTACAGAAGAATGATTAAAATGTGTGACAATATTTCTATTAACTGTGATTATAGTTTTCATATCTTGTTGAGAAAATATGCATTTGTTTAGTGTCAGCTGTAGCGTATGTGTAAAGTATGATAATACTTCTAAGTTGCAATTCCTGATTCCAGCTACCATATTTGCTCCGGAATCTCTCAGTACTAAGAATATCTTATGACTTTTGTCAACTTATATCGTTCAAGAACTATCATTATCTGTTCACTGATAAGTGTAGCTGTGTGGGAACCTTCAAAGGGAACAATTTGCAAAACAGCTCTTGCTGAAAATTATCCTCTAACCAGTGAGGCTGTTACATTTAAAAAAGGAAAATTATTTGT